TGTGTGGGCAGGCTGTGCTTTGAACGAGGAGACATGACACCCAGCCTTTTCCCAAAGTGTCTGGGATGAACCAGCCCCTGCGCAGCCCCCCCCGGCCCCCAGCGCCCAGCAAGCTGCTTTGCAAGAGTAAAAACCTACAGTGATCGCACCCTGAGAGCTTCTGCCGTCTCAGCGTCTGCTGCCAAGTGGTGGGACCGGGAGAGCTGGGCGCCACGGGCAGTGCCCGGGGGTGTGTGCCATCCAGCTCACCCGGCCAGCTCCCGGCACAGTGCCCAGGTGTGCACCCATGAGAAAGCCGGCGGCAGGAATCGGCAGATCCCTTTGCCCCTGTTTTGGCAGAATTGTTTGGGAATCGGTTATTATCTTGTTTGGTTTTTTATCACATAGCAAAATGGTAATAATTCTTTCTATAAATATCTATGTGTGTGTGTGTATATATATATATTTCATTTTGAGAGCAGGGTAGTGCTATTTTTAAACACTTCTTTTATATATGGAAATTTCTATCCTGACAATAAACACCCTGAAGATTTGTATGACACGTCCCTCTCCTTTCAGCTGGGCTGCAGGGCTGCGGAGGCATCTCTGCATCAGAACTGGCTTTTGCAAAGGCCCCCTGTCCTCGGGCTCCAAAAATCCTTCGGGAAAATCCTTGCTCCATGGGCACCCCAGGATGCTGCAGACCAGCCTTGGCTGGAGAGAGCCAGCATGGCACGGGCGCTGTGTCACCGTCCCCAGTGTTTGCTTTGGAGCCTGCGCTTGTCAGAGCACGGGGAGCTCAGGGCATGCTTTATGGGGGTGTAAAGGTGCCAAGTCAGTGGTGTAGGGCCACTTATACCCACGGGGGACCTGGCCCTGGTGCCGGGATATGTCTGCTCGGGGCAGGAGAGCCACCGAGCTCCCTGGCTGCCTGCATGGGGGAGGGATGCCTAGGCAGCTGGGGACCCACCTCCCGCAGGTGCATGGTGCAGAGGTGGCTTTTAAATCACAGAAGGCACGTTGGTGTAGTCCTCGTGTCCCACACCCGGGGGAAAGGAGGTCTCCCCTTAGTCCTGTCTCCTGCATGCAGGCAGAGGCTGCTGGATAGGGACAATGACAGGTTTTTGGAGGGGTCCTTCATGTACCCACCTTGCTTGCTGGTTCTGTACCCAGGAGGCGAAAGCAAAGCAGGACTGAGAGGAGCTGTTGCTTTTGAACTAGCAATTCATGCAGGAGGAATTCGTGTGCCCTGGGGGGCTCACGGGGCTGTGCTGGGCAGCCCCGGACTGGAGGAAGAAGGAGGAGGAGGAGGAGGAGAAGGGGGAGAAGAGGGAGGAGGGTTAGAGCTCTGGGCTCACACTGCTTCAGCACAGCTCCTTTTCCCCAAGATGCTGTTAATGGCTCCATCACGCACTTTGGCCAACTTGCTTTGCAGAGCCTGGGTGTTTCCACTGCCATGAATATTCTTGTTGGGTTTATAGGGCACTTTCAGAGGTGGCTGAGAGGGCCACATCCTGCTGGTCCCGCTTCCAGGAGCGGTTTGCTCCATGGGACTCGTGTCCTAGGGCGTGAGAGCTGGGATGTGGTCAGGTTTTGTGTGCTTGAAGCTGGGATATGGAGCTGAGGAGCAGGAGGCTGAAAGCAGGTCCTGGGCTGGGGTGTGGGGGTTGCTGAGACTGCGCCAGGGAGAGGAGCTGGGAAGTGCTCAGGTATTTGCTTTACAAGGCAAGGAGTAGCTTTTTCCACAGGCAATCAAAAGCAGCGGTTCCCCAGTTCAGCGTGGGGGTTTGATGGCTTGTGAGCAGGGCTCTTGTCCCGGTTGGCGTGGACTGGGGCATTTGTAGCCTCATTATATCTGTTTGCTGGGCCAGCAAATGAAGCCCTGCTGATTAGCTCTGCGCATATCCCAGCCAGCAGCCCCACGGCCCTCCTGTCAGCCCTGTGTCCCACCTGTCAGACCTACATCCCACCCGTCCGCCCTATATCCCCCCCATCAGCCCCATATCCCATCCATGCACCCCTCCCAGCCCCCATGTCCCTCTCACCTACCCTGCAGCCCAGCAGGCAGCCCTGGGGAGGGGTTAGGAAGGTGCTGATGGTCGTAAACCACATCCAAGCCAGATTCTATTGCTACAGAGCACAGTGACCAACAAGCCACACCAGTGTGCTGCAAGCCCGAAACTGGGGGCTGAGACCTCCCTGCTTTGTATGCAGCTCCCTAAAAAAACACACAGTAACTGCAGGGAAAAATAAAACAAAAGGGAAAACAAAAACAAAAAAAAAAGAAGCAATTAGCTGCAAGGGTGATTTAATAACAGGCTTGATTAGAGCAGATAACGGCACGCCCTGAGGCCCTGATTAAGCCTCAGTTGGCCCAATATAATTTTGGCAAATATTAAGGGAGGTTCTAGACAAAGTGGAGCTGGGCTGACAGTCAGACGGAGAAGCTCAACGAGGGCTGGCAGCACGGTGCAGTCTCGGGGATGGAAAATCATCGGCGTGGAGGTGTGAGAGGGGAGGCGGGAGGCACAGGGGAGGGCAGCAGGAGCTGGGCATCAGCTGAGGTGGGATTTTTCGGGAAAGCATCCCCGGGACAGGCTGTGGGATCGCATCCGGGAGCAGGACCGTGCCTGCGCGGTCCTGCAGAGCCTCATTAATGGCTTTTCACTAGGTGGCACCAGACACCAGCGCTAATGAGGGTGCGCTGGGCTGGGGGCACCCCCTTCTCCCGGGCACCCCGAGGCGGTGGACCCGGCCCGGGGGCGAGCGGAGCATCCTCAGCCATGAGCTGGGGATGGATGGACGGAGCTTGGCGTCGGACTGAAAGCATTGCATCGCCTGGTAGGGGACAAGGGCTGCTTGGTGGGGCACAAGGTGTCCCTCGGGTGCTTTGTGCACCCTGCTAAGGCTGGGGCTTGGCCATGATCAAGCCCCGAGCCGGGGGTCCAGGGGCTGCTGGCCTCCCTCTTTGCCATCCCTGTGTAAAACAAACTGGGAGAGCCCTGGCCTGGCTGGGAAATTGCAGCGTCAGCTGGCAGCATCCTCAGCATTGCACAGCTCAGGCCCTGCTGTCTGGGGAGGAGGCTCACGAAATGCTTTTCATGGAGGAGAGTATGAGCAATGTGAGATGGGGATGGCTCTGCAGGACCCTGGGGCAACGGGTGCTGCACACGTGGCAGAGTGCAAGACGGGGACTGCAGGCGGTCCTGTGCACAGAAATGCCATGGTCTGGCTTATTCCGTGGGAGTTTGCAATAGAAGCAGATTTTAGACTTTTCCCCTTATGGACTTGCTATGGATAAAGCACTATCAAAAGTCCTTCAGATGGATTTCTCCCCCCCCACCACCAGCTTCTTTGCAGCTGAATCCAAGCCTTGCTCCTTGGTGTCTTCTCCTCTCTCGGAGGTGCAGCCCCAAGCACCACCTCAGCCAGATCCTGGCACCAGCTGGGAGCACAGCACTGTCCTCTCCAGCCCCAGCAGCAGCTGAACGCCAAAGGATTGCTTAAAAATTAATCCAAACCTTGTATTTCTCATTAAAAGTGCTAAATTGTTGGTGCACAGCCCAGGAAGTCTATCTGGGTTGGCTAAATACTCTCCCGGTTATTTAATAAATGACTTTACAAAGAGCTAAATGCAGCCACAGAATCATTAGGGAAACTGGACAATAATTAACAGATATCCAGTAAGTTAAGGTCCGGTTAACGTGGCACATCAAGACATGAGAAGGTAAGTCTGAGCAGAAAAGGGCACAGTGAGATGCCCACCATGCCCTGGATGGAAACTGGGGGCTCCAGGGGCTGGGGCAGAGCGATGGCAGGGCGCTCGGGGGCTGCATGGAGCACGTAGAGGTGATGCCTGGGCTTTTGCTGCTCCTTGCCCTGCCCAGTTGCAAAATCAGGGGCTGCCCCAGCCTGCCCTTTGCAGGAGCACAGGGTATTTGGCTGTGAGGTGCCTTCTCCTCCCAGGGCATTCCCTGTTTTCAGCACAGCTTGGGTTCCTGCCAGCCCCAGAAATTCCAAGGAAAGGCTCTAGGAACCTGTTACACAAGGCGAGGGGGACATTGACCCATTGGTGGGAAATGGAGTAATTTCCCATTGCCCAAGATCACCTAAAGAAAACAGCTTTGCCTGGAAGGGGGGGGGGGTGTGTGTGCGTGTGCAATCTTCTTGTGAGGGAGAAGATGGAGCCATGAAGGCTGGTGAAATCTTTGCCCTCTGAGCAAGGACTACAGTCCCTTATCCCTACAGCCATCAAGAGTTAGGGCTCAGTCACACCAGGGATGATGGGCCAATGACAGGGCTGTATGGAGCTAACGCTCCTACCACGGAGAGGCCAGCCACCCTCTTCCAGCACCAGCCTGCTTCCCGCATGGCAGTGGCCACCCAGAGAAGACGCTGGGGCTCAGGTGACCCCCGCAGAGCTTGGGAAAACTCACCCTCGGCTGAGCCAAAGCTGCTTTCCCCACCCTAGCTTACACCACCAGCAGGGCAGGAGCCAGGAGGATTTGGGGCTGGGGCAGGTTTCCTCTAGGAAAACCTTAGAGGATCATCCCTGGGAAGGCAAAGGCAGCCTCATGCTCTGGACCATTGCTGATCTGGATCATGCTGTAGGGTCTGGTCTGTGGGTCCACACGGAAGCAGGGTATGAGGGAAACCCACGTAACGGGCCCCCAGAAGGGAACACAGCACGGTCACCATGATGGTTTCTTCCTGTGAAGCGTGCCTGCCCAGGAGAGAGCAGCTCCACTGCCTCCAGCCTGCTTGGAGGACAGTGCCCTGGACCATCTCCCCTTGGCTTGTCCCTCAGCCCCAGGTGAGGCTGCAGGGGACAGTTATGCAATGGAATAACTACTTTTTGAGCAATTGAACAATCCTGTTTGTATCTTGTGCAAAAGGCTTCCGGAAAACACAATGCAACAGCAGAAGAAAATGGTAAAAACACCAGCATGGGCCCAGACCAACTCCCCACCCCCATCCTCCCCAGGGGTTTAAATGTCATCATCCCCCAGCTCGACACACTCGCAACCTCTCAGGGACACGGCAGCATGAAGTTGGTGGCCACCCTTCTTCTGGTGGGGATGCTCATCCTCTGGACAGAGCTGCCAACAGGTATGAGATGTCCTAGGATAAGGTACAGGGAGGAAAAGCACAGGGGCTGGGAAGGAGCCATATTTGCAGGGATCCTCTGGGATGGGAGGGGAGAGGAGAGGAGGGGGCATTTGCTGGGGAGAATCTCCCCAGGACTCCTCAGGTGCCGGCAGCCTGGAGAAAACAACTCCCTCCTCTTGCAGGCAGCGCCTGGTCCTGCCCCCGCGTCCACATCGTCTGTGCGGTGTTTAACCCTCCGAACCAGTGCTACACCGACCGGCAGTGTCCGCGGTACAAGAAGTGCTGCCCAACCTTCTGTGGGAGGAAATGCATCTCGCGCCCACCTTCCCTCCCTGTGTACCACGGTAGGGTCTCGGGAGGCTCCCCCTCCTGCGCCCTGCTCCCCAGGTAGCAGAGGGGGGGATACAGTAATGGTGCCTCTGGGCAGGGAGCTGTGTCCAGCTGTCAGAGCCTTCCTCTGTCAGGCTGGTGGGGGGATTGATGGCCAAACATGTGGGCTGGGGTTACTCTGAGCACCAGACCCAACCCGTTGCTTTCTTTCCCTTTCCCCAGCGTGAGCTCCTGCTCCCAGGACAGACCAAGGGCCTTCTCAGCATCCCCGTGCCACCCCAGCACCAGCCAGCTGCCCACGCCTCTGCTAGGGCTTGTCCTGCCCGATGCCGGCTCCCAGGAGGATGGGGACGGCCACCAGCCCACGCTCAGAGACTACCTTGGCTCCAGGACCACCTCACTGACAACCACTGCACAGTGCTACGTGCCACCTGCACGCCCTCTCCCTCCACTTCCCCACTGCTGTTTTAACAAATAAAAGAGCTTGTTCCAGGGATGCTCATGACGTGCAACTCCTTTCCCCACCTCCTCCTGCCTTTCTCCAGGCTCATCCTGGCACATGCTCCCACTGTTGCTTTCACCCCAGAATTTCTGCCTGGGGAAGATAACGAAAACAGTCTGGCTGCACACCCAGAGTGTGGTTAGGGGCTGGCTTGGGGGAGCAAATCCATCCAGAAGCATACAAACCCCGGGAGGAGAGGGCAATGGGAAGGGTCTGGAGTGAAACATGACAGGACACCTTAGGGGACTCTCCTGGAAGGTTGCGAGGGGCCCTGGAGAGCAGCATGTGTGTCCCCAGGCACACCTGAGACAGGCAGGGCTGTGGGAAGGGGACTGACCCTGCCTGCCCGGGGGGGTGCAGAAGGCAGAGCCTCCCTGGGGGTACCCTACTTGGGGCATGTCTGGAGGGCAGAGGAGGAGGGTTACATAGACCCAAACCCCAAGTAGTGCTGAGCCCCTCACCACTCACCAAACCTGAGCTGGGGGGTAAAATTCAGCTGAAGAGAATCACATGGGAAAGCCTTGAGCCAGGGCACAAAAAACCACAGCTGTAAGGGGTTCTTGTAACTTTTGTACAGCTGAGTGTCAGGGCCAAAAATCCAGGAAATGCTGAGAAACATCAGCAAGAGGAAGCGTGTGCGGCCTGAGGGATCTCCCCAGTGCAACAGCAGAGCCAGGCATTGCCACCGTGCACGGCAGGGGCAGAGCATCACCCAGCCTGCGCTGATGCCCGGCAAACAGTGCTCACCAGCCCCTTCCCAACATGGCTCATTACACGGAGCCACAGCTGATGCCAGACTTGCATGTCCCATCATCATATTCTCAACAAGCAGACTCAGCCCAGACTGTGAGAGGAGCCTGGTCTGTCTGCATGTACTAGAGAGATCAGAGTGGAAAAGTAGCGAATGCTGGATGACGGGAAAATGAGCATTTTGGTGGCTGGCTGGGAGGGGGCACTTTGCCTCCATCTCCTTCGACCTGCAGCTCCCAGCCAGGCAGACCCCACAAGCAGCCGAGCTCCCAGCCCCTCGCACCTCCCTGCCCGGGAGGAACGTCCTGCAGGCGCTGCCTGAAAGGTGCCTGTTGCAGAAGCTGCTGCTGCGTAAGGGCTGAGGTAATGATCCCCGCTGCCGGGCACGAGCAAGGCAACCTGGAGAGCAGCATGAACCGGTCAGATATTTAAACCACCCACAAATACAGCAGGATGAAACCTGTGGCTGTGGGATCGACACCTCACATGGCCCAAGGCAGACACTGAAAGCTCCCTGGTCAAGGCTGAGGAGAGCATCTGCTGGAGCGGGTCCTTCCACAGTCACCCCCATGGAGGAACTGGAGGGAGGGAGGCAAAGACTCAGAAATTCTTCAGTGACTGAGAAGGAAGAAGTCCTATGGTGAAAGATCACCTCTCTGCTTAGCTCAGCCAAGGGAGAGCAGAGGTAACTGGAGAGCTCATGCGGTGCCAGGGGAGGCTGGAAACACCAGGTGATCTGGCAGGGACAGGCAGAACAAGGGCTGGGAGCTCATCAGCCAAATTCAGTGTAAAATCAGACATTGCTTCTGACTAGTGCAGTGTCCTACTGGGGTGGGGGGGAATGTCTGCCACCCTTACACCAACCCACCCCTCTGAGCAGGAAGCACTGTGCCACACAAGCCATGGGGTGACAGGGGCAGAGCCCCAGCACTCCCCCAGCCATCCCTGCAGAGAGGCAGCCCGGGCTGGCACGGCAACTGAGGGCAGAGAAGCCTGATCACACCTCCCGCCGGTCATTAGTCACAGATCACAGCCCTCCCTCCTCCATCAGGACCAGCTATTATCAGCTATTAAGCAGGCATTTCCATACAGCTGGCTAATTTGATAATGCTGCAATTATCTTGGTTTGTTAACAAGATTAAGTTGCTAATTGGTTTGATTAAGCACAAAGCTCCAGGCATGGGGTGCCTCTCAGCTGGTAGCACTCATAGTCCCACACAGCCTGATGGCTGCCGTGCTCCTCTGCTGAGACAAGGGCAAGGCAGCAGCCCAGGAGGGGTTCGTTCTCCCAAAACCTGGTGCCTGGGGCCTCCAGATCTCCATGTGATGGCCTGCAGATGTCCCTCCTCCTGCCCTGAGACAGAGCCAGCTTTGCCCATGTCACCGCTGCCACCCAGCTGCTGGCCCAGGCAGGCAGGAGGAGATGGCTTTGGGGCCAGAGGATGCTATGGGGACATCTGGTCTGCCTCAGTCCTGCTTCTTTCTGTCTGGGAGCACCACAAGTTAGAAATCCCTGAGGCAATGCACCAACTGTGTACATCCACCTGCAGCTGCATCAACAGATCCTCTGCCCTCCTCTCCCCAGGCACAGGTCTCTACCACCACACACAGTGTTTCCAGCAACACCCAGCTTACCACCACAGGTTTACTGGGGAGCTCCCATCATCATGGGACTCACCTGTACCCCCCATGCAGTCAGCACCCAGCTGGGAGGAGCTGGGCAATGCACCAAAACATGCACAGGGCAGGATCACTGATTGTGGTAAGCTCCTGGCAGTGGCAGCGTGCTTTGACTGAAAATCCTCTGGATCCAGATCTCTGGGGAGGAAGGGAATTCCCTCTCTGCATCCTAGGTACGTGCCAGCGAGACAGCAGGAAAAGCAGCGAGTCCTGTGCCAGAGAGCAGATGTTTCCATGCTGGTTCTTCCCATGTCATCTGCTTCCCCAGGGCTAGAGCAGCCTGGAGATGGAGGGGTTCATTTTTTCTGCCTGGGGGCTTACCATAGCTCAGGACTCGCTGCTGTGGGACCTTCTCCTGGACGTTCCCAGGTCTAGTGCTGGGAATGTGGGCAAAGGCTCCACTCAAGGACCCAGCTTTGGGTTAGAAACATCCATCGTGGCATGTCACAGCAGCAGCACCATTGCAGGGCCAGGAGCCGTTCAGCTCCTTTTGCATGCGGCAGGTCTGCCTTACGCCATCTTCCCCCAAAACAGGGGTTTGGGGGCTAGTCACTCTTGGACCAATCCCAAAGGAAACATCCAACACTCCCTGACGTCCCAGGGGATGGGATCCAGAGTGGCTCTCCGGGGAGCCATCGGCATCACGGAGGCAGCCTTGCTCCACACAGAAATGCCCTTTGGTCCACTCCGAGACAGAGACAGGGCAGAGGATGGAGAAGTAAGGCCTCACCTACAGCACACCCCTTGCACATCTGCACTTCTTTTTAATATTTTCTTGGAGCCTTCTCCCTTCATATTTTATGCTCTGGCTCAGGCGACTGGGTGATCGGGGTCTGAATACAGAACAGTTTGGTGCTCAAGAGTGATGCAAGACCTTTTCAAGAGACGATTCAAACCAGCCTAATAAGAATTACTACAGCTTTGAAAACCTTTTAAAAGGGAGGGTTATTTAACTAGCCTGGCCCAGGAGTGGGAAGCTGTAGTCCCAGCAGGATGCAGCAATCGCATCAAATCCAGAGGAGAAAACACCCCGAGCTGAGCAGATCCACACAGCAGCGGCTCTGCCCATGGTCGGGTGCTATGCACAGCCCTCATCTCCTCTGCAGAGAAGCAGCAGTATTTCAGGTGAGAAAAGGAGTCAACACTGCTCTGGTCCCCACCATAAAGGAAATATATGTACACCTCTGCAGAAAAATAAACCATCCTCACACTGCTGAAGTCAACAGATGTATGAATTCACTCTGTGCTTTCTTCTGTGGGATGATTTCTATAAACTCAGCTCCTCACCTGGACCAAGTCACCCTCCAGCTGCAGGGAGAGGGTGGTCAGGGCCAGAGCTGTCCCACACTAGCTGATGCCCTCCAGCATCTTCTTTCTGAGGACACAAGGATGCCTTTTTCCTGCTCAGGAGTCTTGCCATGAACATGCCTTGGCTTGCCTGGCCAGGATGTACCAGTAACCCTTCCCGGTGCCCTCCCACCTTCCCCAAACACAGCGAGGGGGAATGCACAGCACCAGCTCCCGCTGTGCTGGGAGGGCAGAGGGGGAGCCACATCCCAGGATTGCACGATGGAGGGAGGCTGCGTCTGCCACCAGGAAGCCTTTGAGACAGCCAGAGTGGAAGCTGTCCCTTCTGTCTGGCTCCAGCACATCACCTTGGCTGTGCACGGCACCCAGCCCCCTGTGTGGTGGGGAGCCCCAGAGCAGCAGGGTCTGGCAGGGGATGGGACCATGGTAGAGGGATGCCAGAGCAGCCTGCTATGATTTCTCTCCTGCCTAAAGTGCTGCCAAGCCTTGCAAGCTGCTTGTGACGAAGCCCTTCGATCTGGCGCAGAAACAGCTCTGCATGCCCCATGACGGCCAAGAGGCAGCAGAGCTGTGCCGAGCCGCTTGGCTCCATCCCCGCCTTCATCCCACCAGGAATCCTCACCAGGCTGCTCTCTGCTGCAGCCACACAAGGTTGCACACCCAGGAAGCCTGTCAGATGCTGGCAGGACTTCCCCGAGCCAGGGAACCAACAGGAAAGGAAGGCACAAAAATGAGGCACTGGCAGCACCCTGTAGCTGGGGGACATCCCTGCATGCCAGCAGTCCTTTGTCCCCATGCAGAAAGAGAGCAGAGGAGACAGAAACCTCTTTCCTCTGCAGTAAGCCGCACTGCATGAAGGCATATGTGAGAGCTCAGTAGGAGGCTGGGCAGCGGTGCAGGCAGGGCTGGGGCTGCCAGGCTCCCTCTCCCTCTCCCTGCCCTCCCTGCAGCCCCAGCTCTCAGCTCCAGGGCCAGACCCACAGTCCCTCAGACAGGCTGATGTCTGCTTTCAGCCAAGCAGCTGGGATGCTACACAAATAACAGCTCTGGCAAAGGCTTGCAAAACACTTGAAGACTCACACGAAGCAGTTTGCAGAGAGGAAAGCAGCAAGCAAAGCACCTCCCATGCCTGTCCTGCTCACACACCAAACTGCGGCACAGATCCCAAGTCACAGCCCACACACATGCTCTGAGCAAGGTCAGGGTCATAAACTCACCATCACCCCCAAATCCACCAGCACAGGCACCAGGATACC